ATGCATGGGGTGAAGTTGCTGATCATTGAGGCTGTGCATGGTGTGCTAATCTGCCCGTTAATCGACGTTAGTGAAATGATTAAGAGGGTAATTGGGATAGTAATCAATCGAAAAGCCTTGAACAATTCCATGAGTTAGGCTTCAATGGAATACTGAGGCTTAGAACTTAGTTGAGTTTGGCTCAAGCTGAGGAGATAGTTTATAGTTCGTCGAAAACCGAATTTTCTTTATAAAAAAAATAGTGAAAAAGAAAATAATTTTAAAGAAGAGTGGTTTTGAAGTGGGTTTTGGAGTTCAACTAATTTAACTAACGTCTTTCATACTTGAACGAATCATTTACTTGCAGGATTTGCTTTTACTTGAATGAGGAAAGTTCTAGCTAGGTATTGGCTATCCTCTGAACAGAGCTTTGGGGCAGAGGATTGGTGTTCTAACTATGTAAATTTGATTCAAAGTCTATATGATTTGTCCCTCTCAAACATAAGTTGTTTGTTTATTATCTCATATTTTTGCCTAAACATACTAATTGTTATTTTAGTGGGTCCAAATTTAAGGTTTAGGTAATCTAAAAATGGAGCAAATCATTAACTGATTTGAAAAAATAGCACTTTTCTTATGTCACAAAAGCAGTTTTTGGTTGCCAACAAACAGCAATTCAGTAGAAGTTGGCCACCCAAATACACCAATTTATTTCTCTCTTAGAAAAGAAAAAGTTTCCTTTATAAATCCCATCTCATCCCTTCCCTTTCCTCGCTGAAACACCGGATATCTAATATACAACATAGGGTAAATTTCACTTTACTACTCGGATATCTATTATACAATATACATCTCCCCAACTTTTGAAACTATTCTTTCAACAAGTAGAGTTGAAGATATGGCATTCAAAGGAATTGAGATGGCTCTAGCCCTGGTCCTTGGGTCCATGCTTTTGGGTGGAGCCATGGCTCAATCAGGCTGTACCACTGCACTCGCAAGCCTGGCACCATGCCTCAGCTATGTTACAGGAAACTCATCAAACCCATCATCTTCATGCTGCTCACAGCTTTCTAATGTTGTCCAGTCATCACCACAGTGCCTTTGCTCATTGCTCAATGGTGGCGGCTCCTCACTTGGTATCACCATAAACCGAACCCTTGCTCTGTCTCTTCCTAGTGCCTGTAAAGTCCAAACTCCACCCGTTAGCCAGTGTCAAGGTAAGGAGGCCAAATTGTTTACGTATTGACCTAACAATAAGGTTTTTTATAGAGAAAAAGAAAAAAAACTTTTGAGTTAAATTGAATATTGTTGTAGCAGGTACCAATGGACCTACAACAAGTCCATCAACTCCTCCATCAAGTTCCTCTGCAGATCCCTCCAATCAAACACCTTCAGATGCTTCTACACCAGAAGCTGCAATTTCGCCTTCAGCTACAGGTATATATCTTCCGTAACTAATTAGTCTGGAATATTATGTTGTTATACTGTAAATTTCGGTATAAATATAACATGTGACATGATGTCACATGTTATATGTACGAAAGCGGAGCCAGAAATTTAAGTAAGAGGGGGCACCTTTAAAAATTCAAACACTTTCTTTTATGACAAATCAACCTAGTTTTTAAGAAATCCCTAATTTTATCACTTTTCTCTATTTTTTTTTTTCTTTACTTTTTGTATGAATAACCTATCACTCTTTTATGATAACAAAATACATGCAATCCAACGGACATTTAGACATAAAAATGAAAGAGAAACAAAGAAAATAGAGGTCATTTAAGAATTTGTGAGGAATTTTATAATATTTGTACAATATACTAACATAAAATTGCATGTACAACAATAGTTGAGAGGGGCCAGTGCCCACCCTGGGCATGCACTGGCTCCGCCATATGCCCCCTATCTTTTGATGCTGAGTTGTAGCTTTGGGTGAATGCAGGAGAAGGGTCGAAAACAGTTCCATCCACAAAAGGAAACACATCTGATGGAAGCAACATCAAAGCACCCCTTCACTTTGTTCCCTTGCTCCTTTTCGTTATCTCTTGTGCTTCTACTCTCACCAGTTTTTGAGTCTTCTACAGAGATTTGGGGCCTGTTCTAGTCCTACACATATTTCATTACCATTTCTTTTCAATTTTATTTGGGTGTTCGTGGAGATGATCATTATTTTTTCTCTGGAATCTTGGCGATGGAGGTCATTATTTGTACTTGGGTGTGTTTTGCTTTACATCGTTTGTTTGTACTTACCTATTTACAATTTATAATGAAGTATGAGTAGGGTACTCTTGCTCCCTTTAAATTTCATGTTCAACCATAAATCCATAATCTACCTCCGCCGAGTGCCACATGGTAAAAGATCAAAACCGATTAAAATTGAGTTGGATAGATTTGATCTGTCAATTTTGACAGATTGAATTGGATCTTGAACAACCTTAATATAATAGTATCCGTTTGTTAAAAGAAAACAAAAACAAGAAACAAAATCAATCTCATACTCAAGCCCACCCGGAGGGATGCCAAAGTTTGCATTGAAAAATAAGATAAAATTGAGGGCCGAAAATCTTCTAATATGGGTTATTAATTTAGCATATCATAAGCACTGCAGCCGTCCATATAAAAGCTGGATAAAGTGCTTGACGAACAAGTTTGAGCAGCTCAAATGATGAGCTCATGCTCCTAAATTTCACATACCCTAAAAACGAAGGTTTTGATTCTTCGCTCCAAGTTCTCAAATTTCACAAGCAGCACCATAATAAATAAAAATAAAATAAAATAAAAAAAGGGCAACCACTGCTCCAACGTACAAATTCAATAAAAACCAAATGGTTAAAGCAAAAACTGGTTACGTCTGCGAACCACATTTTGGGACCCAGGCCCAATTGAGTCTAGTCCCACAATGGCAGTGACCCATAAATCTGACAAAAAAACAATGATACTTGTAGAGGCCCATGTCTCTCATCGTCATTCAACCCAACAAGCATTTTCCATTTTTTTTTAATTATAATTCATTCAAGTAAATATGCATATTTAACTATGTGATGTGGGCTCATGGGTTGATTTAGGGTTTTGGTTATATAGGGTTTATGGACTTTGTTTGGGCTTATAGCTAATTGTTGTAATGTGGGCTAGTAGTTTTAGTGCGGTTTTTGTCTGCGGGGAGAGGTTTCAATATAGCCTTCTCACTTTAAACTTCTCATTATAGCCTCCTCGTTGTCCGCGTTAGTTTTGCTTTTAGCATGTTAATTTGTTGCCCTCTTAGAATTAGTATTTTAGATGTCTTGTTGATGTCTTTGATTGTACCGTTGAAGTTTATCTAATGAAGTTTCTATTTGATCCAAATAAAAAATACTATGTGAACTACCAAATGGTCCAAATATGCAAGGGGCTTGTAGTTAAGCGATTAAGTATTTATTCATGCATATGAGATCTTAAGATCCTAAATATCGCTTATATGAAAAAACAAAATGGTACAAATCTACCAAAGCAGGTTGGCCTGCCTTTCCTGGACAGTCGCAATAAGCATCACATTTTCTTCTATGACCTTAACCATATTTGATTTTTAGTACACACGTGGACATGCATAGGGCAAACTTCATTAACTTATAATTCTTAACTCTTAAGAGTCCCCCTCCTAAAGTTCTAGTTTAACAAATAAAATCTGTTGCAAAGTAGGAAAAGTAGGCAACCCAATTTGAAAGCCAAGCCAGCTGCCTCTTTTTGGGTCACAATTTCCCCTTTATATATAAACCACAAACCCCTCTTGCTTATACAAAAATAAAAAAACCCATTACCAAGAACTTGCTCATCATTTCACATTTCACATAAATATAGTGTCACTTGCAAATCAAAGCCACTCTCACTCAAGAATAAAAAAATGGCCGTCAGGAGGATTGAGATTGTGCTAGCTTTGGTCCTTGCAGTGGCTCTGTGGGAAGGCACTGTTGATGCTCAATCAAGCTGCACCAAAGTGATCATCAGCATGTCCCCATGCCTTGATTACATAACAGGAAACTCATCAACCCCATCTTCCTCATGTTGCTCACAGTTTGCTAATGTGGTCAGCTCACAGCCAAAGTGCCTCTGTGAGGTTCTTAATGGAGGCTCCTCTTCCGTTGGTGTGAACATCAATCAGACGCAGGCATTGGCCCTCCCCTCTGCTTGTAAAGTCCAAACACCCCCGATTAGCCGATGCAGCGGTATATAAAAAAAATTACAAAATTCAAAAAACATAATGTATGTGATTCTGCAGGGTCTATAACCTCTGGTCATGATTTTGCAGGGTCATCTCCACCGGGTTCTCTCTCAGGGGCGCCAACTTCTCCTTCAGGTAACCAATTTGATTCCCAAAATCACATTTCTTTACACTTGATTCTAATCGATTTACAATTTGACATATTACTCTGTGTGTGTGTGCAGGGAGTGGATCTAAAACTGTACCATCACCATCAGATGGAAATTCTAACAAGATGGCATTTCCTCTGCTGTTCTTCTTGCTCTTCATTGCATCATATGCTTCAACTTCCACAGACAACTAAGCTCCTCTTCCATGAATGTTTATGTAGCTAGACTCGTGGGACTATATAGTATAGGGTAACATAAACTTTTTCTTATTTTTGCATATTGTTAGGTGGCTGATTGGTTTCTGGTTTTTGTAAATCCTTTGCTTGGGGGTTCAGCCTCTCATAGAATTCAAATAAAATAGACACAAGCAAATCAAGCACTGAAATCATAAAAATCAATTAAGCTGTCACCACTGACACCTTGGTGCTATGAAGCCTCCAATGAAGTCAATTTGCAATAACATGAACGGGGGCAGCTGAAAACAACAACCATAAACTTGAACAATGGTAACTCAAGAAAAAAGGTTTGTAGCAGTTGGTTGCTATGCTACACAATTAAACTTGAACAATGGTAACTCAGAAAAAAGGTCAACTGAAACATCTGTTGAGAGTTATTTTCTCTTGCTAGCATTGTTGTTCCTCAACCTTGAAATAGAAGAAATGGTGGGCAACATGAACATGACTAAGAAGAGTACTCCCGCTACAGAAATTACTATTATCCCAAAGGGTGGATCTAATTTTTTCTTGCCACCTATATATAAAAGAAGGCTGGTTATAGCAAAGAGTAAGAGAGGAAAAAAAAAAAAAAAACTTTAGTAACACTAACAAGAAGAAAGATAGGGTTTCAAAGGTCATGACTAAGAAGACTTGGGCCGGACCTCTCAGGCTTTTTTTATTTTTTGGGCCAGGCCGAGGATTCAAAGGGGCCGGCCCTAAACGAGCTTGGCGGGCGGGACCTTTTTTTTTTCTAATTTTTATTATTATATCTCTTTGTTACAATTTTATATCTAGGTGCAAAGTTTCCCAATATTTATATCTATGATCAATAATAGAAGCAAAACAAAATATAAAGGAAAAAGTTTCTCAATATTTATCAAACTTTTATCTTCATAGCAACAAGCATTTTCAATTATTGGATAATAAGAGTATACATTAAATGCGTCATGAATATTAATTGAGCATGGAATAACATGACTAGATGTTGGATAATACACACCACAACAAATCTTTGTTGAATTATCATGAATGAACACCATTGGGCCAATTTTATTGTTATGTTTATTATTTAATTTATTTATGTACGGGTTGGGTCTAAACGGGCTCAAATGGGCCGGACAGAGGTTTCAAACCCTTAGTTCAAGCTCTACCCATTCTTAGAAAGTGTCGAGCCGATCGAGCCTAAACATTGGGCCAAACTGAGTTTTAGCCCATAAGGCCTCGAGCTACCCATTTCAAAGCCTATAAGCCACGAGACAAATGATGATTATAAGTTTTACCTAATAAATCAAAATGTGCTAGAGGAATGTTCGACTTTGTTTCCCCCTCTGTAAATTGTCAGACATCCAGCAAGTTCCTAGTCCATATCATGCAGCCAATTCCTTGCACAAATGCATATGTAGTACAAGAACAACTCTTAAGGCACGTCTCTTCACAATCCTCATCTAGACAAGGAACCAAGTGTGCAAAAGCAGACAACTTGGCCCGCCTTAGCACTACAAACCCATCTTCATCATTTTCCTATGTACTATTTCTTTGACTTTAATAGATCTTCCTAGAACACTCATCTAACCAATTTCCTCTCATTCATTGGTCCAAGTCCCTTGGTGTTATTAGCCCCTAAGAGCATCTCC